CTCACTCTACTCCCCTCCACGCACTCTCCTACCTCTCCCCTCTCATCTCACTCTACTCCCCTCCACGCACTCTCCTACCTCTCTCATCTCATCTCACGCTACTCCCCTCCACGCACTCTCATACCTCTCATCTCACTCTACTCCCCTCCACGCACTCTCCTACCTCTCCCCTCTCATCTCACTCTACTCCCCTCCACGCACTCCCCTACCTCTCATCTCACTCTACTCCCCTCCACGCACTTTCCTACCTCTCTCCTCTCATCTCACTCTACTCCCCTCCACGCACTCCCCTACCTCTCATCTCACTCTACTCCCCTCCACGCACTCTCCTACCTCTCATCTTACTCTACTCCCATCCAAGCACTCTCCTACCTCTCTCCTCTCATCTCACTCTACTCCCCTCCACGCACTCTCCTACCTCTCATCTCACTCTACCCCCCTCCACGCACTCTCCTACCTCTCCTCTCCACGCACTTTCCTACCTCTCCCCTCTCAACTCACTCTACTCCCCTCCACGCACTCTGCTACCTCTCCCCTCTCATCTCACTCTACTTACCCTCCAGGCAACCGCCGACTGCAGCAACCTGTGGAATCCCGCAGTCAACCTTTGATCGGTGGGGGGGGGGGGTCACTCATCCTCCTCCTCTGCTCCACAGCAGTCTGTAACTCTCTTCCCCCAGTCAGCCGTGCTATCGACTCCCTCCCTGTCCCTGTTTAAGTCCAAGAACTTCCTTCATCTTCCACATAGGATTATTGCCGGACACTGGTGGCTGTGCACGTGTCCTGTAATCGCCCAGCAGTGTGGAAGCATTGATGGTTTGTGGATCGCACAAATATTGTGAAACTCCCTTTTCGTGGTCGTAGAGGTGCTATACCCTGGCTCTCCAGGAGAATGCAGTACAGCACGTGGACTAATCGCCACCTGTTGCCACCTGTACGGGGATTTGGCGTTGCCCCCTCGCACGCTTGGGTTTTCTCCGGGCGCTCCGGTTTCCTCCCACTTGCATGGCTGAAAACATCAATAAGCCAATACAGGACTCGACTGAGAAAGAGTCCTACGATTCAGCGTGGTTCTCTTGGATAAATAAATAAGCATTGCTTTTACCTCTCTGCAAAAACGCATGCCCACTTACGTACATCTTCTACATAAATAAAATAAAAAAAATCGCATTGCATTACTGTAGAATTGGTATAGATAGTGATTGTAGCAGTGTCTCAGTAGTCACGCACACAGCTGAAACTGCAGACAGACGTACGGCAAAAACACAAAGACTCCCCGTGTAGCCTTCACATACTTTTGGGGAAAGTGCTGTTAGCGAGCGGTCACTATGAAGGCCGGCGCGGCACGCGAGAGGGTGGGTGGCCAGCACCACGCCCGGCCGCCTTTGTCTCCCGAGGAGGCGATGTTTATACGCCATACCAGGTGCTCATTTTAGGTCGAGTCAACCTAGGGGGGGAGGCCTAGGACTGGTTCAGACAGTCATCACCGGTGTTGGTGGTGGCCGTGCGCGGTAAATCCAATTCGGCTCGCCGGGTTCTTGGCGCAGCGCGCTCACCGCTGCGCCACCGCTCCCCGCTAAAACACAGACACACACGGACAATGCAAAGCAAATACTCTATAACACCTTCCCCCCCCCCACCCCATCGGCCTTCTTCACTGGAGACGGATCACCTCCACCTGCGTTCACGCACCTGTGCGCATTCACACTGACAGTGACGACAGGTTTTCTTCGAGAAAACAAAACAAAATCGCAGGCAGAGAGAGATACACCGTACACGTGAAGACGACACGGAGTTGCCTGTGCCGCGCGCATCGCTGCGGTGTCACGCGTGGCCTACGCGTTGCGCGAGGGGACTTGGAGAGTGAACAACACGTGGACAACGCGCGTGCGCGAACGGGCGCGCGCGTGAACACACACGCGCGCACACGAACACGCGAACGCGCGCACACACGAACACGCGAACGCGCGCGCACACACGAACACTTGGATCCTCGAAAAACGTCAACACGTGAACACGCTTCGTAGCTGAAACTCGCGTGCTGTGACAAACGAGCCGAATGGAGGTCGGGCGAGACACGGGGTCACGGGCCGCACGCTCACGTGTTCTCCATATACCGGTGCCCCCCGCCAGTATATCCGTGTTTTTCTTCACAGAAAAGGTCGTTATTGCCATTCACCTTGCAACGTTGTGGGGGGGGGGGGGGTGGGGGGGGGGTGGGGGGGGGGTTACATTGCAAATATGTTTATAAAGCAATATAAAAGAGAGGGTTGTAGCAGAACCACACCTCCGATGAGCACGATTGCGTACGTACGGTGCGGAAGAAGTTCAACGTGGATTAGACGGTGGCGAGATGTCGACTTCCTCGCCAGGAGGTTGTGGGTTCGAGCCCAACCCTGACGCCTGCTGTATATTTGGAGTTTGCGTGTTCTCTCCGTGGTGGCGTGGGTTTTTCTCCGGGTCCTTGGGTATTTCCCTCCACATTTCGAGTATTTGGCTGCTATAAATGACTGCGTGATCAGCCACTTCGCTGAACCATCATCTGCGACAGCCACGTCGCTTTTGAAAAAGAGCTGTCGAGCTCAGTGGGGCCTTATACCTGGTTCATTTTAAAACAAAAATTCGTTCAAAATGTGCTTAGTTACAACCTAGTTTCTGGGGGCGCACAATTCGTTCCGCCCATTCGTCGTCTCCAAATCGCGGCCCGTGACTGCTGCGACCCGTCGGCTCCTCAGTGACTGCTCCCCGGAGTCTCAACACATTGACCCCCCACCCACCCACCCACCCACCCCCACCCACCCCCACCCACCCCCACGTGTCAATGCACTGCTGCGTCAAGGCCACACCGCGTCCTGATGTTGCTTCATCATATTTCATCAAGGTGGGGGAGGGAGGGGGGGGGGCAGTGCGGTTTGGCTAACGGAGAGGGAAGGATGGGGGGGGGGGGAAGGTCGGGGAGTGGTGAGCAGGATCGGTTCAGATATAATTCACCGCAGTGTGCTAACCACTGCGCCACCGCTCCAACCCACAGAGAATCCGCGAAACAAAACGAAGCATCCCCTGTTTGTCTACGTATGCGTGAAGTCATCGACGGCTGTTTCACAGAAAAATATCAACCATAGGAATGTGGAATTTCCACCAATGTCTGAAAATCACGAAACAGAGATGAACGCAGCCCCTTTGCTCGTGTGAGCAGTGAGACAGGACCTACCAACTGGTGAATGTGCAGAAGAGCGGTGAGTGTCTCATGGGTGTGCGTCGGGTGAGTGGTGAGTGTGAATGTGTGGTGAGTGCGTGGTGGGAGTGCGCGGTGGGTGTGTCGGGTGAGTGGTGAGTGTGTAAACGTGTGGTGAGTGTGGTGGGTATGTCAGACGAGTGGTGAGTGTGTAAACGTGTGGTGAGTGTGTAAACGTGTGGTGAGTGTGGTGGGTGTGTCGGGTGAGTGGTGAGTGTGTAAACGTGTGGTGAGTGTGGTGAGTGTGTAAACGTGTGGTGGGTGTGTCGGGTGAGTGTGAATGTGTGGTGAGTGCGTGGTGGGTGTGCGATGGGTGTGTCGGGTGAGTGGTGAGTGTGTAAACGTGTGGTGAGTGTGGTGGGTGTGTCGGGTGAGTGGTGAGTGTGTTAACGTGTGGTGAGTGTGGTGAGTGTGTAAACGTGTGGTGGGTGTGTCGGGTGAGTGATGAGTGTGTAAACGGGTGGTGAGTGTGTAAACGTGTGGTGAGTGTGGTGGGTGTGTCGAGTGAGTGGTGAGTGTGTAAACGTGTGGTGAGTGTGGTGAGTGTGTAAACGTGTGGTGAGTGTGGTGGGTGTTTCGGGTGAGTGGTGAGTGTGTAAACGCGTGGTGAGTGTGGTGAGTGTGTAAACGTGTGGTGAGTGTGGTGGGTGTTTCGGGTGAGTGGTGAGTGTGTAAACGTGTGGTGAGTGTGGTGTGTAGACGTGTGGTGAGTGTGTAAACGTGTGGTGAGTGCGGTGGGTGTGTCGGGCGAGTGGCGAGAGAGTGATGAGTACCAGATGGTTGGTTCGTGTCTGCTGAGTATAAGCACCGTATGAGTTGTGAGCATCAGACTCATGCTAAGCGTCTGGTTGGTAGTGAGTCCTTGGTTTTTTCGAGTGCTGGATATCAGCTGCCAGATCAATGCGAGCGTTAGGTTAGCGGCGAGTGTCTGGTGGAGGGTGAATGTGAATGGTGAGTATCTTAGTGAGTCTTGAGTGTGGCCAGTACTGTTTAGCAAGTTTGTCATTTGAGCTTTGAGTGCCAGGTGAGTGTTTACTGCCAGGTAAGAGTGGTGTGGGCAAGACAAATGTCACTGGGCGTGTCACGTCACCTCGCCGGTTGGACGGGCCGCCCTCTCGTATCACTACATAGCGACTTCAGGGTTTCGCGCTTATTGGAGATCTCCAGTGCAGCATAGCACCCTGCAAGCCACATGGGAATCTATACAGCCGGTATAGGAGGAAACCTTTAACTCACACAAGACAACGTTCTCAACGTTGTAGCCTTGACCGACTGTTGGGGCAAGTGCTGTCAATGCGAGGACCGGCATGGCACACGAGGTGTTGGGGGGTAAGACCAGCACCACGCCGGGCTGCCTTTGTCTCCCTCGCAGCGATGTTTTACACACCGCACCGGTTTCTCATTTTAGGTGCTGAGTCGACCTCGCGCGCGCACGCACGCACGCGCACGCCTCCGCATATGCACACGCAACGCATTCTTAGGCTACTACAGTCCGCATTCCTTTACCCCCCCCCCTACCTCTCCTTCCATAACTTCACTCCTCCCCAAGCTTCCCCCCCCCCCCAGGCCCCAAGCCGGCAGCCACTGGGGGCGCTATGAGTGAGTGAGAGCGAGTGGGAGGGGGTAGAGTAGAGAGAGAGAGTGTGGAGAGCGTCGTGATCATCTCGCTCACATCATCATCATCTTCGTCGGTATCGTCATCCCGTGCGCGCGTGCGCGCATCATGCGTTCCGCCTGTGCTCTTTCTGGACTTGAGGTGGGTCCGAGTGGGTTGTCGTGGTTCGAGAAGGGGGTTCTTGCGAGTTGTTGGAGTTGTAGGGGTTTGTTGTTATTGGGAGGGGTGTAGGTGGTGTTGGTAAGTTTCGGGGTTAGAGCCTCACACGTTTCACTGCCGCTCCAGTTCAGCGCTGCCCTCGCTTTAGTGTAAGTACATAGCACGTGCACACTCACTCACACGTGCACACTCACACTCACTCACACTCACTCACTCACACTCACTCACACACACACACTCACTCACACTCACTCACACTCACTCACTCACACTCACTCACACACACACACTCACTCACACTCACTCACACTCACTCACACTCACTCACACACTCACACTCACTCACACTCACTCACTCACACTCACTCACACACACACACTCACTCACACTCACTCACACTCACTCACTCACACTCACTCACACACACACACTCACTCACACTCACTCACTCACACTCACTCACACTCACTCACACGTACGCACACTCACTCACACGCACACTCACACGTGCACACTCACTCACACACACTCACTCACACGTGCACACTCACTCACACACACTCACTCACACGTGCACATTCACTCACACGTGCACACTCACTCACACACACTCACTCACACACACTCACTCACACGTGCACACTCACTCACTCACACACACTCACACACACTCATTCACACGTGCACACTCACTCACACACACTCACTCACACACACTCACTCACACACACTCACACGTGCACACTCACTCACACGTGCACATTCACTCACACTCACTCACACGTGCACACTCACTCACACGTGCACACTCACTCACACACACTCACTCACACACACTCACTCACACGTGCACACTCACTCACACACACTCACTCACACACACTCACTCACACACACTCACTCACACACACTCACACGTGCACACTCACTCACACGTGCACACTCACTCACACGTACACACTCACTCACACGTGCACACTCACTCACTCACACACACTCACACACACTCATTCACACGTGCACACTCACTCACACACACTCACTCACACACACTCACTCACACACACTCACACGTGCACACTCACTCACACGTGCACATTCACTCACACTCACTCACACGTGCACACTCACTCACACGTGCACACTCACTCACACGTGCACACTCACTCACACGTGCACACACACTCACACGTGCACATAATATATCTACGGTGCCGTGGCGCACACGGTCCTTGCACATGCGTGTGTCACGGAGCGGTTGCGTAGGGCTTAGGTTTTAATTAGGGGTCTGTGAAGCGTTCAAGGTACCTGTGATCAGCATGGCCCATATTTACGTGCCCGTCTGTGTGGATGTGTGTAAGTGTTTCTGTGTGTATGTCTGTGTTGAAGTGTTTGTCGGTGTCAGAGTGTGTGTGTGTCTGTGTTTATATCTCTGTAGAAGTCTGTAAGTGTGTCCGTGTGTGTAAGTCTGCACTGAGGGTGAATGTTTGTTAATGTGTGTTTATGTGTGTGTAGGTTTTGTGTGTGTTTTTATGTGTTCATCTGTGTGTAAGTCTTGTGTGTGTTTGTGTTTATCTGTGTGTAAGTCGTGTAAGTGTGTCTGTGTTGATCTGTGTGTAAGTGCGTCTGTGTTTAACTGTGTGTAAGTCGGTGTGTGTATGTTTATCTGCGTGTGAGTCTTGTGTAAATGTGTCTGTGTTTATCTGTGTGTAAGTCGGTGTGTGTCTATGTTTATCTGTGTGTAAGTCTTGTGTAAGTGTGTCTGTGTTTAACTGTGTAAGTCTTGTGTAAGTGTTTCTGTGTTTAACTGAGTGTAAGTCTTGTGTAAGTGTGTCTTGTTTAACTGTGTAAGTCTTGTGTAAGTGTGTCTGTGTTTGTCTGTGTTTATCTGTGTATAAGTCTTGTGTAAGTGTTTCTGTGTTTGTCCGTGTGTAAGTCGGCGTGTGTCTGTAAGTGTATCTGTGTGTATGTATGTCCGTGTGCGAGTGTATGTTGTCTTTGTTGTGATGGGGAGCGGTGGTGCAGCGATTAGCGCACTGCGCTACGAACCCGGCGACCCGAGTCTGCTTCCTGCTCACGGCCACCACCGGTGACAATTATCTGGACCGGTTCTGGGCCTCCCCTAGGTCGACTCAGTCTAAAATGAGTACCTGGTGCAGTGTGTAAACATCAGCACTGGGGAGACAAAGGCAGCCGGGCATGGTGGTGTTGGCCACCCACCAACCCGAGTGCCGCTGCCGGCCTTCACAGGTGCTCTGTAACAGCACTTGCCCCAACAGTCTGCTAAGGCCACACGGGGGATCTTTGTCTTTGCCTGTGTGTGATGAATGTGAAAGTGCGTGCGCGTGTACTGAACTAGAACACACGCTAACACGCACGCGTCTGAGTCACAGATGCTCGCTCGAGATGATGGCACGATGATGGCACAGGGCACACGGTGTCGTGTGTAAGCATCAGCACTGGGGGGGAGGGGAGGGGGGAGGGGAGACAAAGGCGGCCAGGCGTGGTGTCAATTCGTTCCGTCGGTGCGCGTGGGTTCTACGACGGACCCCCCTCCCCCCCCAGCCTACTGAGCTCTGCCCTCGTGCGCTTGACAATGCCCGGCAGCAGTTTGACCCCAACGCCCTCCCCGTCCTGCGCTGCACGTGCCGGTCCAGGGCTGCTGAGTTGGAGCCCCGCGGGTTCGCGACCGGGCTGTGAGCGAGGAAGAAGAGGCGTCGAATGGCTTCGAACTCGCTGCGTGAGATCGGAGAGTGGACGAGGAGGCAAAGCGCTCCCGAGAGGTAAGAGAGTCGTTGCATTGATCGATACACGCACACCTCTCGCCATGCACGCATACTTATATGCGGTACAAAGACAAAGGTCCCCCGTATAGCCTTATCAGACTGTTGGGGAAAGTGCTGTTAGCGAGCACCGACGAAGTCCGACGCGGCACACGAAGGGGTCACGTGGACAGCATCACGCCTGACCGCCTTTGTCTCCCCAGTGGCGATGTTTACACACCGCACCAGGCACTCGTTTGAGGCTGAGTCGACCTAGGGGGGAGACCCAGGACCAGGACCGGTTCAGATAATCGTGACTGGTGGTGGCCGTGAGCGGGAATCGAACTCAGGTGGCCATGGTTCGTATACCGTTCCCCATACATACCCCGACCTTATTACAGACCGATTCAGATCTTACTGGTCACCCCGTGCCCTTATACATCTCAACGTTCATCCTACAAAGTCCCATCACAAGGGAGAAACACAAACAAATAGACAGCACCATTGTTTTGTACCCGTATTGAAAACTCAATTTCCCTTTACAAGAATACGGGGTAAACCGTATGGGTTGGCACGGTATGTATCCGGTATAGTACACACACACACGTGCGATACACATATATACAGACACACGTGCAGTACACACACACACACACTGCGCGAGTAGCCCACACAGTAAAGTACATCTACGGTACGCATTCAATGTTGCTATACAATGCTTAAGCCTACGTGCATCAACAGGCAAAGTGGCATTGAGTGTCCTTCAATGCAGCAGTGGATAGATACTGGAAACGCACGCTGTAGTATTGACAAGCATATGCAGTACTGTACATGGCGCCACGGTGGCTGTGAGATGTTAACAACCTCGCCTGGTATACAGGAGGTCGTGGGTTCCATCCCGACCCTAACGCCTGTTGCTGTATATTTGGAGTTTGCGTGTCTCTCTCTCATCATCATCACGGTGGCTATGAGATGTTAACTACCTCGCCTGGTGTACAGGAGGTTGTGAGTTCCATCCCGACCGTAATGCCTGCTGCTGTATATTTGGAGTTTGCGTGTCTCTCTCTCATCATCATCACGGTGGCTAGGAGATGTTAACTACCTCGCCTGGTATACAGGAGGTCCGTGGGTTCGATCCCGACCCTGACGCCTCGATATTTGGAGTTTGCGTGTTCTCCTCGTGGTCGCGTGGATTTTTCTCCGGTTCCTCCGAGTTTTCACCCCTCCCCCATTTAGAAACGTGCGTTTGCAGAGTATTCGGCCGCTATTAATTTCTGCTTGATATAAGCCACCTCATTGAGCTTGTAATTTTTGGGTCAGGTCGCTTCTGAAAAAGAGCCGTATACGCTCAGTGGGGAGTCAGACATTTGTGACAATGTGTGACGAGGTGGGGGGGGGGGGGTTGAGAAATGTGACGTCACATCAAAATGCGCAACTTTAAATAAATATAGACAACACGTTCTACTTTATTAAATCGAATTTTTAATAAATGTTTTCTCCTGCAACATCAGAGTGCAGCGCCACTTTAAATACGCACTACAATGACAATAGTTTAAAGTGATTTGAAGCATGTTTTATTTGGGGGGGGGGGGGGCAGAGCTTTGTGACGTCATATTTGAGGGGGGGGGTCTGACTTTCTGTGACGCCGTGTAACGGGGGTTAAAAATCGTCCAAAACTTGTGTGACGTCATTAATGGACGGCCCCAAACATCCTCACCAAGGAAATCTACAAGTTCAAATATCAAGTAGCAGGCGTGGTGGCGGTGGAGGTTGAAACGAGGGGTCCGCCACACACGCTCTCGCAAAGGTTTGGGAACAGCGGCAGCCTCAGAGGCTGTCGTGCATATATCTCAAACCAGCGGCTCTCCTGCCCGGCGAACGACGGCCAACTTTTGTGGCCAAATTCATCTGCCGTCGAAAACGAAATGCCCGTCTCGCTACCTGCTAAAACACGCGGAATCCGAGCTCTGTTCTCGCCTCCCGTCTAACTGTACCTAGCGGGGTCACAACCGCGGAGCCAAAATCCTCCTTCACGCGGTGGTTCGGGGCCAGAGGCAGCCAGACAGATGCCCTCCCCCCCCCCAACGCGCACCCGCCGTGTGCCAACTTGTGCCACCCGACGTGGCCAGGAATCGAACTTGGGTTGCCAAAAAATTGTGGGAAGACCATGGCCCTCTCACTTACTTGACCGACCGCCGTGCAGCAGCCCGCCAGCTACAGTGCTCTGCACAGTACTGTACGCTGAACTTCTTTCGCGCCGTACGTGGCCAACCGTGATAATCGGAGGTGCGTCGAAAGGACAACGAGCTAAAGATAAAAGGCAGTTGTGAAAAAAAATATGTTTTTAAATCGAGATTTAAAAGTGCATAGCTCCAGTGGCTTCACAATAACAAGAGGAAAGGGGGAAATGATAAATAAATATGTAATACATCACAGGCTGCGACGTTTCGGCCAATGGCCTAACTACTCCTCACGCACCCCCAATCTCCTGTGCTGAGTTGACTTAGGAGTTCTAGATTTGAAGCTTTCGTGACTGCAAGGATTCATATTCTTAGGTTTTTTTTACCTACCTGACTTTACCGAAAAAAACCTGAGAATTTGACTTAGGAGGGCAGGGGCGTGGGTCCAAGGGCAAGTTCCGGCGACCTTTCGGGCAGTTGCCCATTGGCGCTTCTTCGCACCCGGGGCACTGGCTACTAATTTAAGGCTGAGTCGACCTAGGGGGAGACCGCGGCCAGATTCTCAGGCGGAGTTTTCGGAGGAAATGGCCCTTCTCTGCAATGGAGAAGGGTCATTGCCCGAAACGTCACGTGTTGTACATGTATCTCTCTCTCTCTCTGGCAGTGTTATTGACGCATGCGTTCAGTTTTCTGTGTTGTTTGTGCACCGCTGTTAACGCCGTCTCGTGAACAAACACATTAAAAAAAATTACTGTCGCGCTGTCCCTCGCCCACAGTTGACGATCGCTCACTCTCAGACGGAACGGAATGTAGAAGTCTCGGGCCAGGCGCTGTTTGCGTATTAGCGAGCACCTATTAGGGTGGGCAACGTCTGAACACTGCAGCGGTGTGTGGCCAGAGTCACGGACGCCCTCCCACCGCATTTCTTTTTTACCCACGGCGCCGGTTATTCAGGTTCACATTCAGAGAACCAAGGATCCCGCGTGCAGCCTAAATATACTGTTGTGGCAGGTGACGTAAGCCCCGTGCCTGGCCGCCTTTGTCTCCCCCGTCAGTACTGTACTGATGTTTACACAACGTAACTTAGTGCTCACTGAAGGCTAAGTCGACTTCAAGGCCAAATATTCCCCGTATAGCCTGAAGCTGTTGGGGCAAGTGCTTGTTATTAAGGGACGGCATTGGCGTGGACGGAGCCACACCTGGCCACCTTTGCCTCCACAAGCTCTGATGTTTTACGCACTGCACACTCGATGCTCATTCAAGGCTTAGCCGCCCTGGGTTGGCCATTCACGCGCACGCAAAGCACGTGGTTTCTGCGCCTTTTTGGGTGTGAACACGGGCTATTTTAAGGCGGAGGTCATCAACAGATTCGGCTGTCGCTTTTGGGCAATTAATAGGGTTTAGGGCGATACTCGAGGATTAAAATTAGACTCCCTGGAACACCGGGCACAGCGTTTTCGGTGTTCAAGATCCCGGACAATTCAGTTGTATTCACAAGGTGAAGAGGGACACCCTCTCGCCCCCGCCCCCCCCCCCCAGACGCCGAGTGGGTCATGGGGGGTGTATTGGCCATACTTCACCACACTTGGTCAGTACAGGTTGGTGAAGGTGGGCAGTGTAGGCGTGGGAACATAATTAGAAGTATATTACAACACTTATGCTGCGCATGGATTGCGGATGATGATAATGACGATAATTGTTGAAGTCTATTGAAGTTCATTCAAAATTAGTTCTGTGAAATTATCTTCCAGACACAAGGTGGTGCACAGATTTCTGGGAGGGTTCTCAATGGGAAATGTCTTTAATTTAATAACATTGTTGTTAATAGCCTAATTTTTACAGACTCCTTCCCTGAGGGTGAAACAAAAATCTTAGGATTATTTTGAAAGAGGGCCCTGCTTGTGAATGTTTCCGCAAATTGTTCTGCCGAACGCATTTTCGCGTTTGGCAAGAAAATCATCGTTGCCCGGAGATAGACCACAAACACCAGGGGGTGAATGCACTCAATTAATTACACAGACAAGCTGTCGACAACCTCCCTGCTGTATCGCTTCGTGCACAACCCACCCCACACAGCCCAATCTTTACGTGAGCCACCAACCTCGCAATCAGGAGGATCTAGGGGTTGGGCGCAGCATGCAGCCTCGCATATCAAGCAGTGGATAGAGCGTGCCCAGGGACAGAGACGTAGCGAACACGTGGCGCGACGTGACTATTGTCACGCGCACTCAACAACATCATCATCATCATCAGCCATGGTCAATCAACTGCTGGACGAAGACCTCCCCAAGCCACGCATCATCTCCCACGATCCTACGATGTGATAATGTCACCCAGCACCTGCTGCGCAAACTGCAGCACGTTCCATTCCTGTTCTTGACCATCGTCCCATCATCCCCTCGAGCCGAGAGATATCCTGCCCGAGCCCACACTCACGTTTATTTAGTGTCGCGTTCCCAGCCCTTTTCTGTTCTCCCACTGTCAACCCGCCACGCACGGCGCGTCTCGCTCCCAACGCTTCTTTGAGCGCGTTCCATCCCCTCTTCACATACAGGTCGGCAGTGGACGGAGCCTGTCCAGGACGTGAGCGGGGCGTGACGTGGCAGTGCCGTGCGGAGTGATCATTCTGTGGGTGCGGCCTTGCCCCGCGGGCGTGCACGCAGTAGCAGCATCAGCGGATTAAACAAAAACATATATAGACAACTCATCGCTGTACGGGACCTCCGCCTATAGACATCATCATCATCATGATACATGCAGGGGGATTAATTTCAGCCGGGTTTGGCGACCCAGAAAATATTTCCGCGCCCGGCGCGCACCACATCCAGTATGACGCCTCTC